TTTCTAAAGCAATTCTGGTCACAACGCAATGCACAAAAAGCAAATGTCATGCATAATTGCATATAAGTACATAAATTGTGTGTGGAGTAATTCAATCATGACCTGTAGGTTTTGCCCTAAATCACAAAGTCATTGAAGTATCATTTCCTTTCATGAGCTTTTATCCAATCTTATTGTCCTGTAGGATACGCCACTTGGTATGGCTTGTGTAAAAGGATGTAAAGAAGTAGTTGAACTACTACTGAAGCATGGAGCTAAAGTCAATCACACTAATATTAATGGAGTAAGAGACACAGTAATAATAGTTATTATTTTTATTATTATTATTATCATCGTCATCGTCGTCGTCGTTGTCGCCGTCATCATCATCATTATTAAAAACGAAAGAAAAAACAATATTATTATTACCTTAAGCCTACTATTATTTGCATCTACTAATTTTAGCGAAATCAGCAAAAGTCATGTTTAGCGTTACTAATTTTAGCGTTTTTAACCAAATTAACTATAAATAATAACCATTATAATGAATAATAATTATTTTGGCGTCTATTTAATTTAGCGATTTAAAGCTCTCTTACTAATATCGCTAAATTTAGTAGACGCTAAAAATAGTAGGCTTAAGGTATTATTGTTATTATTATTATTATGTAGCATACACCACTTGTTATGGCTTGTAAAAGAGGACGTAAAGAAGTAGTTGAACTGTTACTGAAGCAGGATGGAGTTGATGTTAATGCCACTGATGAACGAAATGTATGATTATTAATATATTAAAATTATTATAACTTGTCCACCTTATTCTGTTATATTTCTTGTTATTTCTTGTTATAATAATAATTATTATTATTATAACTATCATTATAACTATTTTATTATTATTATTATTATTATTATTATTATTATTATTATTATTATTATTATTATTATTATTATTGTTATTATTATTATTATTATTATTATTATTATTATTATTATTATTATTATGTAGAATACACCACTTGGTATTGCCTGTATAAAAGGACATACAGAAATAGTTAAACTACTCCTGAAGCAGGATAAAAATAATATCAAGAACACTAATACTAAAACTGTAAGTTAATTATAATAATGATGATAATGATGATAATAATTATTATAATTATTATGTTAGCCTACCGGTATACCACTTTGTATGGCCAGAGCAAAAGGGCAGCCTAAAAGAGTTGATATTAATCACAAAAATGCGGAAAACGTAATTTTTTATTATTATTACATCCCTCAATCTCATTGTATTCCTACTAATTTTTATTTCTAACTTATTTCTCCAACGTATTTCGTTACATATTTCAATTTTTATTCTTTTTTTTATTTTCTAAACTATCTTAACAATAATTTTATTATTATTATTATTGTTATCATGTTAGCGTACACCACTTGGAAGTGCCTGTCATGAAGGACGTACAGAAATAGTTAAACTACTACTGGAGCAGGATGGAGTTAATGTCAATGCCACTGATAAGGACAGTGTAAGAAATATAATTATTGTATATATTTATTAAAGAGAAAGTAAAAACAATAAGGTATAAGGTACAACAAGATAAAACTAATAATATTGCTTTAAGACAAGAACTAATCTTTGCTTCAAAATGGCAGCCATTGTCTGTTGAATCGGTACATGGGTAGGACTGTTTGGAATCCTATACTTGCCATTGTTTCCATTATTATTTATGATGAATAAGCCCAGAGTATATCCTACTTAATCTTTTTTTTAATTTTTATATTTAGTTATTATTATTATTATCATGTAGTGCACAGCACTTCAAATTGCCTTTATGAAACAACATACAGAAATATTTGAACTACTACTGAAGCATAAGGGAGTTGATGTCAATGTCACTGATAAGGACAATGTAAGTGACATAATTATTATGATATTTAGTTTTAAAAAGAAAAAGCAAGATGATATTGCTTCAAGGCAAGAGCTAATCTCTGCTTGCAATTGTCTGTTGAATTGGTATATGGGTAGAAAGTTGTTTGGAATCCTATACTTGCCATTGTTTCCATTATTATTTATGATGAATAATACCAGAGTAAATCCTACTTAATCTTTTTTTTTAATTTTTGCATTTTATTATTATCATGTTAGCGTACACCACTTGGTATTGCCTGTCATGAAGGGCGTACAGAAATAGTTAAACTACTACTGGAGCAGGATAGAGTTTGTGTCAATGCCACTGATAAGGACAGTGTAAGAGACAATTATTATATACACCGTATTTATTTTTAAAAAGAAAAATTAAGGGAAAACAAGATAAAACTGATGATATTGATTCAAAGCAAGAGTTAATCTGGCTTTGTCTGCAATTGTCTGCTGAATTGGTATATGGGTAGAAAGTTGTTTGGAATCCTACTTGCTCTATAATCTTTTTTTTAATTTTTGTATTATTATTATATATCATGTAGCACACAGCACTTCAAATTGCCTTTGAGAAACAACCTCAGAAACAACATACAGAAATAGTTGAACTACTACTGAAGCATAAGGGAGTTGATGTCAATGTCACTGATAAGGACAATGTAAGTGACATAATTATTATGATATTTAGTTTTAAAAAGAAAAATTAAGGGAAAGCAAGAGCAAATCTTTGCTTGCAATTTTCCCCTGTCTTTCCTATGAATGACGTGTCTGATTTATAATGATATTCGTTGGGATACCATAAATGAAAAATTTTTCAGGCCACCATCTCAATACACTTTCTGCCATTTTGTAAAAAGAGCAAGCAGTTATAGCCTCAAAAGTAAAAAATTGCAACCTTTACCTCTGTTTTTATAAGTCTGCAACTGTTTGGAGCCACTGGAGTGACATAGAGAAGTCGAGTTTTTAGCCTGTCAGTCCATGCTCCATGCTCCATGTCAGTCCATGTCAAGTTTTCAGTCCATGCCTGAAAAATTTTCTATTCACGGTATCCCAATGAATATTATTATAAATTGGAAACGTTATTCACTATCACAGAAAGATATGGTTGGAATTTTGAATTTTTCTTGCCATTGTTTTCATTATTTTTTGATTAATAAGCCCTGAGTTTTTATAAATCCTATTTAATCTTTTTTAAATTCTTTACATTATTATTATTATTATTATCATCATGTAGCTTACAATACTTCATAGTGCCTGTGAAAGAGGACATACAGAAACAGTTGAGCTACTAATGAAGCGAGAAGATATTGACGTTACTAAATGTAATAAAGATGGTCTTAATGCTCTTGATATTGCTGTAGAGAGAGGGAAAAAGTGAGAATTAATAACTATGAATAATTGATATAATTCTTTTTAATAATCTAGAGATGCTGCAATGGCTATAGTCAAAAGTGATAAGTGGAAGGATGCATTACGTAATTATAAAGTTGAGGATACAAGTGATAAAAGTTTTGATAAAAAGAAAGGGGGTAGGTTTAGAAGAATGTGGTGTTGCAATAGAAAGGGAAATCGTGAAGCTAATAAGCAATTCATTACACCAATGAGAAGATTAATTAAGAAGATGCCAGGTTAATACATTATTTGAATGAATTATTAGTGGATATTGCACTTGTGATTCTTTTACATGTAGATGTAGCTAAAGTTGTTTTTGAGAACTGCTGCACGGAAGATAACCCACCAGATCATCCTGATCATGAGATTACTTTTAATTATGAGTTCCTTGATGATTTTGATCTGTAAGAATATTAAAATGTTCTTTTAATATGAGCAAGCAATTATTGTTTTTCTATTTTGTTAGTAATCACATGACAACTAAAAACTGGCATCCACCATTAGAATATTCTAGTGAGAATCATTGTCTTAATATTCTTGTAAGCTATACTTTATGATAACTATAAGAATTATAATTGTTATTCATAGGCTGATTCACCAAGTGCAGACTTATTGAAGCATCCACTTGCTGCTACACTACTTGATCAAAAATGGAATAAAATAGGACGCATAGTCTATTACACTAATTTGTTTTTTTATTTTTTATTTGTCATTTTACTGACATCATTTGCCCTCACTGTCCATCCTCCAAATTCAAACATATGTAAGCTATTATAAGTAGATCTAGTTTATTAATTATACTATTTATAATAGGTATGGAAGTATTTGGAAATGACAATGAAACATCTATTGATTGCTTTACAGGTAATTGCTGAATAATAACTATTATGTGACTATAATGTGACTGTCTCGTGTTTAGAGGAAAGATTTGTATCTCAAATATACATACCTATTGCTAGTATATGCCTGATCGTTTATTCTGCAATCTTGATAATACGAGAAGTATTTCAACTGGTTTTGTTTAGAAAAGAGTATTTGACCAGTCCTGTCAACTACATTGAAGTCTTACTATTCATCTTTACAATAATATTTTCATCAGTACGTAGCAACCAGTGCTACTGTACTCATCTATGGCAGTGGCAGGTTGGAGTGATTGCTGTATTCCTCAGTTGGATTACACTGATATTCTCCATAAGAAAGTTACCAGTAGTTGGAATATATGTTGTCATGTTTATTAAGATTTTTAACAACTTTATTAAAGTTGTTGTCCTTGCCTTACTATTAATCTCAGCCTTTGCAGTTCCTTTTTATATGATGTTTTATGATCCTCAAGATAGAGCAGAAGGAATAGTAAGACTCAAAGTATTTTTTGTCTCTATTACTTTTTTCGTGCAGCGTACTCCATTTATCACTCCATGGAGGACAACTGTTAAGGCAATAACAATGACAGTGGGGGAACTTGATATGGATTCTTTATTGCGACAGAATAATCAAGTGAATGCCCCTGATGTACAGTATCCAGTGGTTTCCTTTTCATTGATAATTGTGTTTGTGATTTTAATGCCAATTCTATTTCTTAATCTATTGGTATGTCTATATTTTATTAATTCAATCCACTGACCAACCCATTTTATATAGATTGGTTTAGCTGTTGGTGACACTGATGAAATACAAAAATCAGCTGATACTTACAGACTAACTCTGAGAGTAAGAACTAATTTGCATATATTACCAAGTACC